AGGTTATGTAGATGCCGATTGGGGAGCATGTCCGAATGATCGACGCAGCTACACAGGCTATATGTTCATGCTCGCAGGCGCAGTAGTGAGTTGGGAATCACGAAAACAACGTACCGTCGCACTCAGCTCAACTGAAGCCGAATACATCGGACTAACCGAAGCAGCAAAGGAAGCAATCCACCTTAAAAACCTTCTCTGCAACGTTCACTCAAGATCAGATCATCCCATAACGATATACAACGACAATCAGAGCGCCCAGAAACTTGCCAGAAACCCGATCTTTCACTCACGAACTAAACACATCGGGATACGACATCACTTCATCCGGGAGGCTCTCGAACGCAGAGACGTAGACATCAAATATCTACCGACCAGCGAGATGCCGGCCGACGTTCTAACCAAACCATTGTTTTCGAACAAACACCGGTCGTGCGTCGCCAACATGGGTATCGGACCCATAGAAGGTTCACCGTGATATCAAATTGAGGGGAGGTGTCGATACTCTCGACGCATACCAATTTGACCCACTAGAGGGACCTACCCAATAACCAAACAAAAGGTTTTATGACCCTTTGTCTTAACCTGTTCCTTTGTTAGAACTACTGTCTGTCGACACGTGCGGACGTTCGTCCTACTGCTATGTAAAGACTTTTGTACATTAGTTCATAGATTAAAGGAAGATACCTTAACCAGTTTAATATGTTTTCATCTGAGTGTCTCTCCACTGATTCTGAATTAACCACATTATATTCTGTTTTTGTCTACATAGAGGACATCCTACTGGCAAGTAAGATAAAGGAGGAACATTACGTTCATCTGGAAAATAGTACTCGGACGTTTACCAGAATATGGTATCCAAATAAACCCAGCTAAATGCATACTCGGTACAAACGAATTACCTTTCCTAAGTTATTTAGTGAACTCCAACTGCATCAAACCTCTAACCCAGAAAGTAGAAGCTGTCTTAAAGATCAAGCGACGAAAAACAATAAAAGAGCTCCGTAGATTTTTAGGCCTGTTGAACTACTACCGCTGTAACATTCCACACGACGCTCAGGCTCAAGTTTTGCTTTGTAACTATCTAAAAGGCGCAAGACGATCCGACAATGCGGAAATTTTATGGACAAACGAATCAAAAAAGGCGTTCGAGGAGTCCAAAACTCGATTAGCGAACGCAGCTCTTCTATCTCATCTGGCCCTGGATGCACACTTGGCGTTGCAGGTTGACGCATCAGAGTTTGCCCTTGCAGCAGCGCTGCATCAGGTCACTAAATCTGGCTCAGAGCCGTTAGGTTTTTTTCGCTTAAACTCACGGATACGGAGAAGAAATATTCGGCGTACGATCGCAAGCTGTTAGCCGCTTACTCGGCGATTAAGCATTTTTGTTTTATTGTGGAAGCTAGGCCTTTCACGTTATATACAGATCACAAGCCTTTGACATTCACATTCCTCCAAAAAAGTGAAAAATGCTCCCCTAGACAATTACGTCAATTGAACTATATAGGCCAGTTCACTACTGATATTCGATACATAAAAGGAACTGATAATATTCCGGCCGATACACTTTCCAGAGTCGAATCTATTGTTTGACATTCTCCCATAAATTACAAATTAATTGCTGATGCGCAAAAGACCGACCAAAGCCTCCAATCACTTTTGGGAAATAGTTCGACCAGACTACAGCTAAAAAACTAATATTACGGGAAAATCAAGTAGAACTTTACTGTGACGTGTCCACCAGTAAAATTTTGCCCTGTTATCGCCGAAACGCAAAGGCAATCAGTTTTCCATGCTATGCATGACCTTTCGCATTCAGGCAGTAGATCCACGGTGAAGCTAATTACCAATGGTTCGTATGGCTGGGCATGGAGGCTGACTGTTGCAAGTGGACAACTGTGTGCATTCCCTGCCAACGTGTCAAAGTTACTAGACATACTACAAGTCCAATTACAAGCATTCCCGTAGAAAAAAACGTTTCTATCACATCCACATCGACCTTGTTGTTTCGCTCCCTTTTTCCGAAAATCATTGCTATTTTCTCACTATGATTGACAGGTATACTCGTTGGGTTGAAGCGAAACCACTGCGGGATATAGAGGCCGACACTGTGGCTAAAGCCTTATAGCGGATGTGGATAGTGCGGTTTGGCTTTCTGGGGGTCATTACCACCGACCAGGGATGCCAATTTAAATCACGTTTGTTTCGATCTTTGGCTATCCTAATGGGTTCCAAGCACATACATACATGCTCCTTTCATCCCAGGCTAATGGTATGATCGAGGGATGCATTGGATATTAATGTGTGCCCTGAAAACCTACTTAACAGAATGATGGACTGAGATACTCTACCGTACTACTTGGGTTAAGGAAAACGTTCAAGCCTGACCTACAAGCAACGTCCAGTGAATTAGTTTACGGGCAGACAATACGTTTACCAGGTGAATTCTTCGATCCTACTTCAGCAGACATAAACACTGCTGATTTCATACAGACACTAAAGATTTTATTCAAAAACTTAACACCATTGCCGGCAGCATTGCATGGGAAGCCCAAACTTTTTGTTCCCATGCATTTAAGAGACTGTAGTCACGTTTTTCTACGTTACGATGCCGTTCGTGCTCCACTGCGCCCTCTCTACGATGGACCATTCCCGTGGTGGAGAAGAGGGACAAATTCTTCAGGATTCTAAAAAATAGCAAAGAAGTGGTCGTCTCCATCAACAGACTGAAACTGCTCAGGCAGAAAGACTCAATCAACTCTACACAACCTGTGATAGACCAACCCAGCAACAGGGCAGCTGGGCATAACCACCAAGCAGAACCCGTGTGACGGTACGCCATGTCTTTGTAAATAGGGGTAGATATAAGTTTTATTTTTCCTAAATTCCTTTGTCTTTAACGTCTATTTCTAGAACTTTCTAACCTATTCTTTTTCTATGAGTGGGGGACCTTTGTCCAAGGACAAAGGGAGAAGACAAAGGGGACATTAAGAAGCCCTGAGGCCATCAATAAAACGAACAAGACACTTTTTTTTGGGGTCAGCGTCCGAGGTGTGCAGACATGGGAAAGAGCAAGCTGAAGGTTTGACGCCTAGTGGGACAAAAAGAGAAGGCTTGGAAATTGTCTGCGAACGGACGAAAATTAGAAGGACACCCAGATTAAGACTTAAAAAACGCTTTTGAATTCTCAAGAGACTGAAACGAGAGGAAGGAAATTGATTCAAGTACCGATATAGAGAAGATCGAAGACTGCCAAATTTACCCGGGTACCCCCACAAATCTGTCCTTTATACTTGTCTCTTCTCTTCATATCTCTTAATTTCTTCACCGTTCTTCCTTAGCATATAAGTTAGATTAAGGTAGATTTAAGTCAGTTGTAGTATCTCAAACCATAATTTTTCATTGTCGCGAGCACGTGTCTTCTGCCTGTGAAAGCATATAGAATTTGTCGGACGGCTTCGAACTTGTGTGCGTACTATAGTTTGGGATCAAGTGTGTTTAGTGTAAACGAACCAGGTGTACGAAGGACCACGTAACTGTAGTTAAATAAAAATCCTTTTTAATTTCTAGTTACTTCTTTCTCATCCTTTTTTTTGTCCTTCACACCACCACACCCGCATGCGAAGCGAAGACGTCACGACACGGCAGCAAAATCAACCCCCAGTGAGATTCATCGACCGCGGTCGCTAGGAGGGGGTTACTGCGGCGACCAGTTAGTTCATCACGGACTCGGGAGATGGCGCCACTCCTCTGATGAATGCCCACAGAGTCTCGTACTCAAAATCGTTCAACGTAATAGTTTTTCCCGCATGGGATTCTAAGATTGAGTTTCTTCTTGTTCGGTGATAGCTGCCAGAGCACGTGTAATTGTTAAGTGTACTTGTACGATTTGTTCATGAATAAATATTGTTTCAGTTTAAAGCGTAGTCGTGGACCTAGCAAAATCTTGTTTACTGCATCCCATTACAGGTAGTCTTAGTGATGATCGAAACGGATGGGGGTGGACGGCCATGTTTCGTTGAACACACGTGCGGTCCTCCATTACCTTTAAAAGTGAAAGACACTAGAAAGGAAGCTATAGAATTAAACATAGAGACGGAATTGCATTTAGTAAAAGTCAGTTTTGTGGAAATGAACGATAAGATTAATATATTAGCAGAGAGAATTAATAAATTAGAGTCCGATCACGAATGCAGAGTTGACTGCAATAACACGCGGGTGTGGTCAAGCTAAAAGAGTTAATACACTTGAATAATCTAAGGAGGAGAAATTTATTATTATTTAATGCGGAGGCAAATGAAAAGGGAAAATTTATTAAATACAGTACTTAATACTATTCTTAAATTTTAAGAAGGGCAAACAATAAAATAAAAGTGAAAATTTATAGGGCTACAGATTTTTAAACTTCCTTTACAATAAAACTCCACTTTATTCATCACGATACATTTTGAATATGTCCATATAAATTTAAAGCAAAATTCTTATTTATAGACAAAAAGCACCTACAGTCCTTTATCGCTAGGCTTGTTAGCGAATGAAGTTCTGATAGCGTCTCTGCAAACGCAATTCTGGACAACTTTTTCTCTGGACGATTCTCTCGTTTGTCAGAGACAGGCCGATAGTTGCCTTTAGCCTCAAATTTGTTATATCCAATATGGGTCCTTAGTCTCGAGTTTTTCGTGTTGTACTCTAATTGACATAATCGAACTCACTCGTGTTACTATCCGCGCATTCTTTTATTCAGCGCGCTTGCAGCGCATTTAGCGCATGTGTTCAATTATTAAGCCTACTGTCAGTGCGCTTTCAGAGCACTGGCAGCACCTCTCGACCACGCTAAAAATAGTGCTTACAAGGCGCCTCCATAAAAAAGTATCTTTTTCGACTGCGAAATAAAAGGCAGTTTTTTGTTATTTTAAATGAGCAGATTTTTAAGTCCTTTGCTTCAAGTAAGTATCTTTTTAATAAATGTGAAATGTATAATAATAAAACGAAATATAAGAATCTATTATTTTTTTTTTGTTCATAAACTCAAATCTACGTCTAAAAGTGGGTATATGAAATACTGTTTCTATTTTATATTCACAGATTCTAGCAATTTACTGCAATATTTAACAGACAATAAGATTTTGCCATTTGAAGTACATTTATTATCATTAAATCATATAAAAATACATAAAGTGTTAACAGAAAATAAGGATACCATAGGTAGGTGTATATTAACTCATTATTTTCCTAGTTATTTATATGTAAAATATAAAATTTTTCTATTACCTTTATTTTGTATTATGCATCTTAATTAAAATTGTAGCTTCTTATTAAATGTATAATTATTATTTTGATTATAGGACATTTGGCATTCAAAATAATAAATAAATTTGCTACCATTACAAAGACATTTTAAGGATTCATTCTATCATATTTCATGTGTAGATTATTATTTTTACTTTGTTAAATTATTTAGAAGTTTGTCCTTCATTATTATATGCTTCTGAAATAAACATTCTATACCTTGACAATAAATTTTAACTTTTTAAACTGTATTTTATACATGGGCTCATCTTTAGTTTCAGTTATATTCTGCTAAAGTAACTCAATTTAATTTGAATCACTGTAAATAACTTTTTATTTCTTTTTGATAAAAGTTGATAATGGAATAAAAGTTACATTTAATGATATGCATTCTGGCGGCCGAATTATTGTAATCTAGCATTGCATCTGAAAATCCAGACGGAGCTATTAAAACATGTGCAGTCCGTCCGCCATATTCTTTTTCTCTCTCTTGGCTACACTACTCACGACAAGTGAATGTTCTGTACCGATGCATGCATGTAACCGATCGAACTTTACTCAATAAGTGTAAAATAAAATCTTATACGTGATTGTAAATAAATTTTCATGGTGAGATATAAAGTCTCGGTTATTTTATAAATCAACGAACACTCAAGTTCGGTGGTGCAACAACCACCACATTGGTGACCCGAACGTGATCATTCGTTCCGAAGCTAATCCATCCTCATCGAAGTCCGGAAGACTAATAGTGCCAGAGACATTCACCATCATTCAGAACAATCAAGTAACAATTATTTTTTAATTTTACGCTTTTTCACAGTGCCAGATAACACATGTCGAACGACGATAACGGAAGTATGGCGATCTCCTTGCCAGAAATCGCCCGCGTGGCTATAAGAACCCGACCGTTCTGGAAGGCTAATCCGACACTTTGGTTCGCCCAAATAGAGGCCCAATTCGCAAACGCTAATATAACAGCCGACGAGAGGAAATTCAATAATGTTATTGCGGCCAAGGAGAGCGAAATCCTCGCCCAAGTAAGCGACATAGTCGTCCAACATCCAGACAAAGATAAATATCTCACGCTTAAACGCCGATTAATTGACCAGTTCGCGGATTCAGAACAACAACGGCTACGACTATTGCTGCAAGACATCGAGCTAGGTCATAATGCGAAAAAGCAACGGCGACTGGAGGCCCTGCAGAGATTATAGGAGATTAAACGCAGTAACAGTTCCTGACTGCTATCCCATACACCATATACAAGACTGTGTACAACTGTTATACCCCGTTCGCACCGAGCATTTCGATGTAGATTGTGACTAAGGTCGGAGAGTGTTCCGTGGTGCGAACGCTCTCGACCGTTTCAATCTCGACTGAAACGAGGTTCAATCGCAATCGACTGGAGATAGTTCTCGAAACTAGATCCAGTCATAAGAAAGATCCCACAATCCCACGCGCGCGAGAAAATACAAGATGGCTGCGGAATACGTGTCGGGGTTATCGACAGAAAAATAAAAAAGAAAGCTGGAGAGAGGACGACATCTGTTTATTATTAGATGTACGGCAAGAAAAAGTATTTATTTCTAACCAAAACTTCCATTTTGTTTGTTGGTATTTATGACTTACCGCGTAGTTACGTCAGTTTTATGATCGCGTGTAATAGCCAGGTTCTTCTCGAGCGGACTTCCTGTGCGAACAGCACGACGTTCGACTAGCCACAGTCACAATCCAGATTGTAGGTAAATCGAGATCGAAGTGAGTCGTGGATTGTGTGCGAACGTAGTATTACGCTGCAAGTCCGTTTTCTCGACGCTCGACCTAGCGAGGGCTTTCCACCAAATCCCAGTAAACCCGGAAGATATCCTCAAGACAGCAGGATCCCTTGTCTTGAGGATATCTTCCCTGTCTTGAGGATATCTTCCTATAATCCTAAACCACTCGAACAACCCTTCGGGTTGTTCGAGTTCCTATAATCCTAAACCACTCGAACAACCCGAAGGGTTGTTCGAGTGGTTTAGGATTATAGGAAGATATCCTCAAGACAGGGAAGATATCCTCAAGACAAGGGATCCTGCTGTCTTGAGGATATCTTCCGGGTTTACTGGGATTTGGTGGAAAGCCCTCGCTAGGTCGAGCGTCGAGAAAACGGACTTGCAGCGTAATACTACGTTCGCACACAATCCACGACTCACTTCGATCTCGATTTACCTACAATCTGGATTGTGACTGTGGCTAGTCGAACGTCGTGCTGTTCGCACAGGAAGTCCGCTCGAGAAGAACCTGGCTATTACACGCGATCATAAAACTGACGTAACTACGCGGTAAGTCATAAATACCAACAAACAAAATGGAAGTTTTGGTTAGAAATAAATACTTTTTCTTGCCGTACATCTAATAATAAACAGATGTCGTCCTCTCTCCAGCTTTCTTTTTTATTTTTCTGTCGATAACCCCGACACGTATTCCGCAGCCATCTTGTATTTTCTCGCGCGCGTGGGATTGTGGGATCTTTCTTATGACTGGATCTAGTTTCGAGAACTATCTCCAGTCGATTGCGATTGAACCTCGTTTCAGTCGAGATTGAAACGGTCGAGAGCGTTCGCACCACGGAACACTCTCCGACCTTAGTCACAATCTACATCGAAATGCTCGGTGCGAACGGGGTATAACAGTTGTACACAGTCTTGTATATGGTGTATGGGATAGCAGTCAGGAACTGTTACTGCGTTTAATCTCCTATAATCTCTGCAGGGCCTCCAGTCGCCGTTGCTTTTTCGCATTATGACCTAGCTCGATGTCTTGCAGCAATAGTCGTAGCCGTTGTTGTTCTGAATCCGCGAACTGGTCAATTAATCGGCGTTTAAGCGTGAGATATTTATCTTTGTCTGGATGTTGGACGACTATGTCGCTTACTTGGGCGAGGATTTCGCTCTCCTTGGCCGCAATAACATTATTGAATTTCCTCTCGTCGGCTGTTATATTAGCGTTTGCGAATTGGGCCTCTATTTGGGCGAACCAAAGTGTCGGATTAGCCTTCCAGAACGGTCGGGTTCTTATAGCCACGCGGGCGATTTCTGGCAAGGAGATCGCCATACTTCCGTTATCGTCGTTCGACATGTGTTATCTGGCACTGTGAAAAAGCGTAAAATTAAAAAATAATTGTTACTTGATTGTTCTGAATGATGGTGAATGTCTCTGGCACTATTAGTCTTCCGGACTTCGATGAGGATGGATTAGCTTCGGAACGAATGATCACGTTCGGGTCACCAATGTGGTGGTTGTTGCACCACCGAACTTGAGTGTTCGTTGATTTATAAAATAACCGAGACTTTATATCTCACCATGAAAATTTATTTACAATCACGTATAAGATTTTATTTTACACTTATTGAGTAAAGTTCGATCGGTTACATGCATGCATCGGTACAGAACATTCACTTGTCGTGAGTAGTGTAGCCAAGAGAGAGAAAAAGAATATGGCGGACGGACTGCACATGTTTTAATAGCTCCGTCTGGATTTTCAGATGCAATGCTAGATTACAATAATTCGGCCGCCAGAATGCATATCATTAAATGTAACTTTTATTCCATTATCAACTTTTATCAAAAAGAAATAAAAAGTTATTTACAGTGATTCAAATTAAATTGAGTTACTTTAGCAGAATATAACTGAAACTAAAGATGAGCCCATGTATAAAATACAGTTTAAAAAGTTAAAATTTATTGTCAAGGTATAGAATGTTTATTTCAGAAGCATATAATAATGAAGGACAAACTTCTAAATAATTTAACAAAGTAAAAATAATAATCTACACATGAAATATGATAGAATGAATCCTTAAAATGTCTTTGTAATGGTAGCAAATTTATTTATTATTTTGAATGCCAAATGTCCTATAATCAAAATAATAATTATACATTTAATAAGAAGCTACAATTTTAATTAAGATGCATAATACAAAATAAAGGTAATAGAAAAATTTTATATTTTACATATAAATAACTAGGAAAATAATGAGTTAATATACACCTACCTATGGTATCCTTATTTTCTGTTAACACTTTATGTATTTTTATATGATTTAATGATAATAAATGTACTTCAAATGGCAAAATCTTATTGTCTGTTAAATATTGCAGTAAATTGCTAGAATCTGTGAATATAAAATAGAAACAGTATTTCATATACCCACTTTTAGACGTAGATTTGAGTTTATGAACAAAAAAAAAATAATAGATTCTTATATTTCGTTTTATTATTATACATTTCACATTTATTAAAAAGATACTTACTTGAAGCAAAGGACTTAAAAATCTGCTCATTTAAAATAACAAAAAACTGCCTTTTATTTCGCAGTCGAAAAAGATACTTTTTTATGGAGGCGCCTTGTAAGCACTATTTTTAGCGTGGTCGAGAGGTGCTGCCAGTGCTCTGAAAGCGCACTGACAGTAGGCTTAATAATTGAACACATGCGCTAAATGCGCTGCAAGCGCGCTGAATAAAAGAATGCGCGGATAGTAACACGAGTGAGTTCGATTATGTCAATTAGAGTACAACACGAAAAACTCGAGACTAAGGACCCATATTGGATATAACAAATTTGAGGCTAAAGGCAACTATCGGCCTGTCTCTGACAAACGAGAGAATCGTCCAGAGAAAAAGTTGTCCAGAATTGCGTTTGCAGAGACGCTATCAGAACTTCATTCGCTAACAAGCCTAGCGATAAAGGACTGTAGGTGCTTTTTGTCTATAAATAAGAATTTTGCTTTAAATTTATATGGACATATTCAAAATGTATCGTGATGAATAAAGTGGAGTTTTATTGTAAAGGAAGTTTAAAAATCTGTAGCCCTATAAATTTTCACTTTTATTTTATTGTTTGCCCTTCTTAAAATTTAAGAATAGTATTAAGTACTGTATTTAATAAATTTTCCCTTTTCATTTGCCTCCGCATTAAATAATAATAAATTTCTCCTCCTTAGATTATTCAAGTGTATTAACTCTTTTAGCTTGACCACACCCGCGTGTTATTGCAGTCAACTCTGCATTCGTGATCGGACTCTAATTTATTAATTCTCTCTGCTAATATATTAATCTTATCGTTCATTTCCACAAAACTGACTTTTACTAAATGCAATTCCGTCTCTATGTTTAATTCTATAGCTTCCTTTCTAGTGTCTTTCACTTTTAAAGGTAATGGAGGACCGCACGTGTGTTCAACGAAACATGGCCGTCCACCCCCATCCGTTTCGATCATCACTAAGACTACCTGTAATGGGATGCAGTAAACAAGATTTTGCTAGGTCCACGACTACGCTTTAAACTGAAACAATATTTATTCATGAACAAATCGTACAAGTACACTTAACAATTACACGTGCTCTGGCAGCTATCACCGAACAAGAAGAAACTCAATCTTAGAATCCCATGCGGGAAAAACTATTACGTTGAACGATTTTGAGTACGAGACTCTGTGGGCATTCATCAGAGGAGTGGCGCCATCTCCCGAGTCCGTGATGAACTAACTGGTCGCCGCAGTAACCCCCTCCTAGCGACCGCGGTCGATGAATCTCACTGGGGGTTGATTTTGCTGCCGTGTCGTGACGTCTTCGCTTCGCATGCGGGTGTGGTGGTGTGAAGGACAAAAAAAAGGATGAGAAAGAAGTAACTAGAAATTAAAAAGGATTTTTATTTAACTACAGTTACGTGGTCCTTCGTACACCTGGTTCGTTTACACTAAACACACTTGATCCCAAACTATAGTACGCACACAAGTTCGAAGCCGTCCGACAAATTCTATATGCTTTCACAGGCAGAAGACACGTGCTCGCGACAATGAAAAATTATGGTTTGAGATACTACAACTGACTTAAATCTACCTTAATCTAACTTATATGCTAAGGAAGAACGGTGAAGAAATTAAGAGATATGAAGAGAAGAGACAAGTATAAAGGACAGATTTGTGGGGGTACCCGGGTAAATTTGGCAGTCTTCGATCTTCTCTATATCGGTACTTGAATCAATTTCCTTCCTCTCGTTTCAGTCTCTTGAGAATTCAAAAGCGTTTTTTAAGTCTTAATCTGGGTGTCCTTCTAATTTTCGTCCGTTCGCAGACAATTTCCAAGCCTTCTCTTTTTGTCCCACTAGGCGTCAAACCTTCAGCTTGCTCTTTCCCATGTCTGCACACCTCGGACGCTGACCCCAAAAAAA